AAACAGAGGTCTAATATATATTAGAAACAGGATTGGTGAGACAGGGCTGCCTTGTGGAATCCCTGCTGTAATGCTGCTAAAGCCTTCTATTTCTCTATTAAAGGATAGTCTAAGCTGGCGCTTAGATAGGAATAATTTAACCCATGCTATTAAATTGCAAGGTAGCTGTAGCTGTTGTAGTATAGCAAGTAGCTGGTTTAGAGCAACGTGGTCAAAGGCGCCTTTAATGTCTAGGAATACTGTAGAGGTTGTGCGTTTTAGTTTTCTTTGCTCTTGGACCTGGTTTAGCAGCAGTATAGATGCGTCTATTGCGGATTTTTGTGCTCTTCCTCCTAGTTATAAGGGGTGAAGAAGAGCTGTTGTTTCTGCAAGAGTTCCAAGGCGTTTTGCTACTACTCTTTCTGCAACCTTGCCTAGGCAGCTAAGCAAGGCATTTACTCTATAGGCTTTAGGTGCAGTGTAATTAGGCTTATTTAGCTTTTTTAGTATAATTCCTGTTGCTTTCTTCTATTCCTGTGGGTGGTAGCTGTAGTTAAACAAAGTAGAGAAAACATAAAAGAATGTTTCTGTCTGTGCTTTATATGCTGTAGTAATAATCTCCTGTGTTAGGGCGTCTGGTCCTGGAGAGCTGCTTTGGATTTGTGCTGAGCAAGCGTATTCTAGCTCTTCTATAGTAAGATTAGGCCATTCCTAGTCGCTTGGTTGGTAGTTGTCCCACTCTATAGGCCTGGAGGCAGGAGGGCTAGGGAAGAGAGTTTCTCTTAGTGCAGAGCATTTGCCTTGAAAAGATTCCTCTATTCCCCTTAGGCCTTGGATAACGTAAACCCCCAGCACCCGGGCCAACCCAGCACCCGGGCCAAAAAAGCTTGGCAGTACCAACTCACGTTACAACTCTTCAATTTCATCGCTATTTAACATAGAGCCTGCGTACGCTGTGCTCGTATCTAATTTAGAATATGCCTCTATATCTTTTTTGCACATTCGCGCGTTGTGTCCAGTCCCTCCACAGTTTCTACAGCGCTGTAGAGCTGGTTGAGCTTGTTCTTGATCACCACCACCACGAGCCTTCTTCGACCGCTCAGCGGCTACAGAGGC